TCATGAGACATTTCTGGATTTCATCGGACATCCGAGGCATTCAGAAGAACTTTTGAAAAACTTGCGGGTCTAACTTTGAGAAGCAATGAGTTCGGTCCTCTCAAATGGCGGAGGTTAGGGACGGTCTTTGGAAACCTCCCTCTCCTTTAGCTGAGCGAGATCTGGGTGATTTTAGGCCAAAAGCTGCCCCAGAGAGATTGATCAGAGAATGGGCAGGAAAGCAAAACAAGAGCACATTTGGGCTAAGGCCTTTTCTCCCATTCCCTCTGTCGCAATCTCACAATTTTTATCCAGACAGAGATATGCGTGTGCTTTCTCTCCTGCCCCGCTGGTAGATTCAAAAACAACTAATGCATGCTCTCCTCACCACAAGGCCCTTTCTATCGGTCGATGGAAGCTCCCCAAAGGCAGAGTCACCAGCCGCTTCTACCGGCGGATAGAAGCAGCTGGTGACTCTGCCTTTGGGGAGCTTCCATCGGCCGATAGAAATGGCCTCGTGATGAAGGGAGTGCGCATGGGCACTTGCCCCGAGGTCGCTTCTATCAGCCAATAGAAGCAGCTGGGGACTCTGCCTTCAGGGAGCTTCTATTGGCTGATGTTCTATCGGTAGTAGATCAGGGTATTCTAGCCTAGGCTACCTGCATGGTGCTTCTAAAGGCAAGTTTTCTTCCCCCCTTCCCTTCTCCCCCATTTCTCTTCACCTTGTGTAGTTCTAATGAACGATGTGAGAAATGGTGGGGAAACACATGGTTTAAATAGGCCTAAATTTTGGGGGCAGGGCTTAATTTCACCTCATGCCTAGAAATCATGCTGGGCCTTCCTATTGGTGGAGGCCGTATTGTTGGAGAAACACGGTATATTATGAAAATATATATCAATTATTAAATAAACTACCAAAGTCATGGAATCATACCTCTTCTGTATAATTTTGTGTTTACTAAAATATTTGGATATTTAATAATAAAGTCAGAATTTTCTCCCAAGTTTTAGATTTGAAATATTCCTTCTATTTCATGAAGTTTTTGACTCTCATGCATAGAGAAATATATACACTCACGCACGCTGCTGTTATATGTATATTTAGAGCAGGGAGCCCAAAGTGGTGGCTCACGGGCCAGATGCATCATGTGCAGGCCATGATGGCAATGTGACGCAGCGAGTTTGACACCCATGTTGTAGAGAGGTACAGAGACAGTTGGGGTGGTGGGGGAAAGCTTTCAAGATTCTGATATATCAGCCTATATCAATAGAGTTATAGAATTACTTTGGTATCTGTTTCCTAACCTGGTCTATCTTAGATGCCTAGGATATATCAAGCGTGGGGTAATGCACAGTGTATGGCTGGTGTTTCTACAGCACACTCTTTATCGTATTTTTATTCAATATTCCAAAATAGTTAGAAGATATTATTCAATTAGTAGTAAAAAGTAAAAGATTTAAAAACAATGAATCTTTGTATCAGGCCAATACAAATGCCTTTTATATCCAATAACATGGACTTGCGATCTTGTTAAAGATCAATTTAAAAAATATTCTAGGTTCACTAAGTTTAATTACTTTGGAAGGTCATCATTTATAGTCTTAGTTGCATGAAAATCACTGTGGGATTACACTGATTTTTGTTAAATCTTGTTTATGACATTTGGAGAAAAGTAGAATCTTATTAAGCTTGCCCTCAAAGAAATGTATTTTCTGAATGAATTTTTAGCCACTGCAATTTAAAGGTAATATTATTTTTGATAAGGTTAGCATGTGTTTTTTGCATGCAAAAGTGATAGGTTAATTCTCTGGCATCAACAGGAATTGTTAGGAAACACTCTGATGTCTTTAATTTTAGAGAATGTTATCAGTCAGTATTGAATTAAATGATCCAGATGGACTGATAGTCTGTTATTATAAGACAAATTCATTTTAACTGAAGAATTATAGTATCATATGAGCAAGACTATGATTTGAACCAAATTCTATAGAATATAAATCTGGCACGTTAGCTGGTAGGTCCTTTTAATAGCTACTTAACTATTTTAAGCAAATCTGTATCACAAAAGCATTGTGTTTTCAAATGGAAACCAAGGACTGATTCAAATATTTTGTGTGAAGTATTACTATCACAACAAGGCTTTTCCTGCTGACTATATAACATATACCACCATTATTCTAAAGTCCTAGCTTCTTCCCTGTTAATTATGCACAAAATGTCAATTTTTAAAATAAACTTTTTAACCTATAAGTTAGTTTGGCCCCTGAGTGGGATAAGTGGTGATTTCTTGTATTCATAATGGCATTCTTGACTGTGGGAGTTATTTTACTAGAGTTTACTCGGACAGGAATGACAGTTAACAATAGCAATAGCACTTAAACTTACATACCGCTTCACAGTGCTTTATAGCCTAAGTGGTTTACAAAGTCAAAATGTTGCCCTCAACAATCTGGGTTTTAATTTTACCAACCTCAGAAGGATGGAAGGCAGAGTCAACCTTGAGCCATTGAGACTCAAACTGCCGAACTGCTGTCTGTCAGCAAAATTAGCCTGCAATATTGCATTCTAACCACTGTGCCATATTAGGTCAACAAGCAATTGCAACTTAACAATGAGCCTGAATGCTCCAAGCACTCAGGGTCCATTAAGTTCAGAGAACACTGGGGGGGGGGGGGAACCCACCAGATTAAAGTATACTTATTATTCTGACTTTGTTCTAATACAAAAGATTGTGAAGTTAGGTGTCTGTTAAGTTTAAGCTTCATGAAGTTGACCTTAGTGCTGTTTTAAATATGTGAGGAGTTTTAATTTATTTTGATGGAAGATTTTGATAGAAATGGGAGATGAAATCATTTAATATTAAATGTTCTTCGATAAAACTCTGTTCATTATTAACTAATCAACTTACCAAATGGTACCTTTGTTAACAAATTAAGCACCTAACTGGCCGTGGTTGGCCTTGAGAAACTAAGCCAGATCTAATTGCTACTTCAATGGGAAACACCAAGAAATGTCAGGCTGTAGGCTAGAAAGAAAGGCAGACTGCTTCTGTATTACTATTAAGAAATTGACAGGTGTCAGTTAATGAAAAGGTCAGAAATCAAACTTGACTCCAATGAGACCACATTTACAAATGAATAATGGAAACTAAGGAAAGAAAACTGTATTTTTGTTCAGTAATTGCATGATCTTAATTATTAGCATATTCAGCTTATGCTAACCATTCTAGTACATTGCAATAAAGAGTCTCTACTAAGTTTGATTTTTAGAAGTACTTAAGGAATGTTCCAGATCAAGGGTAGGAACTTGGAAAAAGAGTCATCTTTAGGTAAAAATTGGCAGGATTGCAGTTTAATTTAATTTTGTTGCAAAAGTTTAAAAACATAAGAAAAACCTATAAGTAACAGTATTTGAACAAGAGCTGGTGAGCTATAACAGGTGCTGTTAAGGGAAGAGTGAAAATTAATTTGTACTAGGACAGGGCTGTCAAACTTCCAGCTCTTGAACTGGATGTGTCACATGCTGGCCATGCCCATGCCCATTTTAGCGAAGTGGGAAAAAGTCCTGATAGGTCACATGACACTCACGTGATGACGTGAGTTTGACACCCCTGTACTAGGAGATGGAGATGAGTAATTGAGTAAAAAATCCCTGTTTGAAAAGCAACATTTCTATTTTAATGTTAAGATTTTTCCCAGTATTTCCATATTTCTATTTCATAAGAGTCTTTTTTATTGCTAAGTATGTTTGCCAGTGTTAGACTTTGCTATATCTGATGAACCAAAGATCCAGGCAATGAGTTCTGTGTGCTTTCAGTGTCTTATCAGTAAACATTTTCACCAAAATGTAGCTACCCTGTTTCTCTAACAATATGGCCTCCCCCAATAGGAAGTCCCAGCATGTTTTATAGTCATGAAATGAAATTAAGCCCCTCCCCCCAAACTAGGAAGTTAGGAAGTACTTTTGTTGCACACCTGGATATGGTGCTGCCTGCGTTGACCCTGATACAAAGTGCCCCACCAACGCCGAGGTCAACATCCAAGCCATCGCCGCCCGCCTGCCCAAAGATGCAAGTGGGGGAATTAAGTCACCCCCCGAAAAGACAGCCTAGCCGTTTTCTCGGGGCTCAAAAACAAAAAAAGACCCGGCCTTATTATATGAGAAACACGGTAATTTTCTGTCGATTCTGTGGGGCAGCAGAATAAGATATTACTGTGATGTTTTTCCTGGACAGAGATCAACCAAGTTTGCAAAAACCTACATAGTGCACCTCAACATAAAAGAAATCCTTATAATAGGATAAGAAAAAAAAGTTCATGAAACTATTGTAATTTTTCATCTGAAACCATCGACAACTCACATGATATTATAATCAGCTGATAGAAGATTGGGGTATTGAACAAACTACTGGGAATTTTTTTAAAAAATGGCCAAATAACTTTTCGTGATAAAACACTGTTTTCCCCCATTTCATTGTTATTATCTTGGAGCTAAAATTGCATCAGCTATTTGATTATACTATCTGAAAGGCAGGTCTTAAGGATAGCCATGTGTAGAGATGAAAGAAGATAATAATGCCAGTTAGATGGGCAGCTCTGTAAATTAGGTAGATAAATAAATAATGAACCTTGTTAGGAATATTCAGGAAGCATTACCTAGGCAAAAAAGATGACAACCTTTTTCAGATAACAAGATAACATTCCGAAGCAGTTCAGGCAGATACCTCTCTAAGTTGCTGATGTATAAGAAGGAACAGCACAATGAGACTTGAAAGCTTATAGCCAGCTGCAATAAAAGTAGTTTTAGTCTTCCTGTTGAATTGATTTCCTGGTCAGGTGTACCTAATGGGCATAACCACTCAACTTGTAAAAATGCAACTCTGAGTGACATATAGTAATAAAAACAACATAATATTCTTAGCAATGAAGCAACACTATGCCCATGTACTTTATTTCTGAAAGAAAGATATAGAAATATCTTAGGTATTGTGACTAGTGACAATATATGTTTGTCTTTTCAGATCCCCAGCTCAAGGGCATAGTGACCAGGTTATATTGCAGGCAAGGCTACTACTTGCAAATGCACCCAGATGGAAGTCTCGATGGAACCAAGGATGACAGCACTAATTCTAGTAAGTGATCTAAGAAACTATTCAATACTTTTACACATACATGCATGCATGCACACACAAAATGTAGAGTTAACCATTCCAAAATGAATATCCATCATTTGTATGCCTTCCTGATTTCTTTATGGTTCCTGATATGCCATTTTTAAAATCATGTCTCTGTTTCATATCTGCTGATGTCCTTAGAAAATGAAAAGCCCTCCTATCTCATTGGAATCCTTGAGTAAGGCTAGTGAGTGTTCTACTCCTATCTGCCAAAGACTTGAGAAATCATGTAAGCAACACTCCAGAACACAATCCCTCAGTTTGAATTCTTTGAATACTGCTTTCTTAATCAGTGTTCTTTGTTAAAATCTAATTAAGGGAGACTTTCTGACAGTGGTCTGAAACCACAGAAAAGTAGTTACTACCTAAGAATCACCATGGATAGAATGATCACATTACACTAACAACATTTCAGAATAACAGAGTTGGAAGGGACTTTGAAGATCTAGTTAACTCGCTGCTCAAGCAGGAAACCCTATACCATTTCAGACAAATATTTTGACTACATGTTTGTAAAAGATATTTCCTCTTTATTTCTAAGGTTTGTTTTAGTCCCTTTTCTCAGCTTTTTCACAAACCTAATATAAGAATATAGCATTTCTAACTATTAGAATTGATATTCAGTTCAAAAGGTAGCACATTCAGCATAGATAAAAATTATTTGTGGATTCATCTAACCACTCAACTTGTAAAAATGCAACTCTGAGTGACATATAGTAATAAAAACAACATAATATTCTTAGCAATGAAGCAACACAGAATCATCAAAGACCACAAATACAAAGCCAGGGTATATCACTATATCCTTCACCTACCAATTTATCTAATATCTTGGCCCAAAGCCCAAGGCAACAGTCAAGATCTTCAAACATTAGCAGGGTCAGGATCAAATTTTTAAGGGGAGGGTTTTTTTCCCCCACAGGACAGGTATTACAAAAGAAAAGGTACCTCTCCCAAATCTCTCCTGATGGCATTAACTCAAGAAGAGGCTTGGCAGGATGCCCATTCTGCTGGAGCATATTGAATGGCAGAAAGATCTAGAGGCAGACAGTCCCACAAATAACTTGTTTGTGAGCCATGAAGGGCTTTATAGGTAACAACTGGCAACTTGAATTGTATTTGAATTGTATTTGGAGTTCTACTGTGAGCCACTAAGTAGAGGTATCAGATGGGTTGCCAAGATGGAGAAATTATTTTGCTTATATGATGAATGGCTGAAGCACATAGTTTGTTTGTTGCATTATTTTCAGGGGTGGGCTGCTAGGGACTCGCAAGGGCTAGGGAGAGCCCCTAGTTAAGACTCTGCGGAGCTCAGAGAGTCCCCAATAACCTCAGAAAGACAAGCAGCAAGGGGAAGCTCTTAACAGGATTAATTGAACTTCTGGGCATTCAGCCAAGAGCATTTCACACCTCGTAAAAGTGTTGCAAGCTAGATAAACAATCCACTCAGTGCTTGGGAGGGAGAGTCATTGAGAAAATCAGATAACATAGCCACTAGCCTCTGAGGGGATTAATTTCCAAATAATAAGAATCCCGTCATTCACCAGAAACTTCACTAAGACTCCTCTCACAGTCACTGCTATTAAGTCTGGTTTCACCCAGTCTTTTATTTAAGTATTAAATGCATGAAATAATAAACAACTTTTTGGTATATATCCTTTTTTAGGTAATTAGGGCAAAGAAGCAACGTCGAGTTGGCCACACTACCCAGTCACATGACCAGCCACACCCACCCAGCCAGTCATTAGGGCAGAGAGCCCCTTGCTAAAAAAAATTGAATCCCACCCCTTATTGTTTCCATGTATGAAACTAGAAATAATTGAACCAGAATACAACCAGAATACAAATGTATTTAAAGGTAACTTAATGCTTTCTGCACTAATCTAAGGGTATATTTGAACTTTGTTGTTTTATTGTTCTCTTATAATATATTCATTGTCAAAATTTGACCTGGGTTTGCACAACAGGTCAATGTACTGTAAATAGCTATGGTGTAGTTCAGTGAATGTGTAACCCTCATGATCATTGAATAAGCCATGGCTTAGTGTAAGAATGGGCAATTTTTGCAGTGTTTTTTTAAATTGCTAAAGTTGGTCTTAAACTTTCCCTAAATCTTCCTCTTCAAAAAAGAAAACAAAAATCTGAATATTGCCTTGCTTTCCCTGGAAAGACTTTGATGTCCACAAATGGGCTCTAGGGATAGGGAGTGTGGCCTCCAATTGGTGTTGCAGGTTTTATGAACACTGCTCCCATTGCTGCCATATCTATCATGATAAATAGTGCATATAAAATGCTATAAGCTATGCTTATTATGTCAGCAATATTATTCCATTCATGTCTTTGATGCCTTTGCTTCCATGTGATAGATCTTCTTTATTTTTACAGCATTGTTCAACCTCATACCAGTGGGACTTCGAGTTGTTGCTATCCAGGGTGTAAAAACAGGCTTGTATATAGCCCTAAATGGAGAAGGATTCCTTTATACATCAGTAAGTAGTATATCAAAGCTGTTGGTTATAAAGTAAATTCAATTCAATCATAGAAAATTGTCTTGGGATTCTTACAAGAAAGACTACATAAATTCAAATAATGCATTTTTATTTTAAAAGTTTGATATTTTATTGTTCTTCTGTATTATTTTAATTATATAAAAATGGAAGGTCATAAATAACTAGGATAAGAAAATCTGTTTTGAGTCACAGGAGGCAAATTAAGGCAAACTAAACAATATTGAAATAATATTGTTTTCAGTGGAAGAGATATATTCACATGATTATTTCTTCTACTGACATCAATAAGATTCTAATCTATCTCAGTACATAGGATGATTTCAATATTTTGAGCAGAATAAATGATTAATAATTGTATAGTTTTCAGTTTGGAAATTTGGTGAAATGGTAATTTTTAAATACAAACACAGATTGATTAATGCGATTTATTATGTTGATATGCCTATCAAGTTATATATTGTATGTTATACCTTATAAGGCTGTAGGGCACTTTTAGGATAATCCTGAAATCAAGATGTTATAATCAAGGCATGGATAATTATCACTAAGTCTGATTGGCTCAGGAAAGGTCACAGTTGGCACATTAGCCATACATATGCAAATACACTCATCACAACTATTACTAGCAAATCTGATAACAGCTGAAGATCAAGGGACACTCCTAAACTGCAAACCTGCTCTTTCCACGGATGTGCAAGCCCATGTCAGATACATTTCACCTCAATCTCCAAGTCTAGTTTTCTCTTACCTCTTCTTATCAGCATTTAATTTCAGCTTATTTTCATCCAGCCCCTTTATTAAAATTAGTATGCAGAGGTACTAATTGCTATTTTGGGGTTTGATGACAGTAGAGTAGAGCTAATCCCATCAGTCTACTATTTGTAACCTACTCTAAAGCTCTTAGCAGTTTCATGTAGCAGTAGACAGGGCAAGACAGATTTCAGAAGAATACTATAAATCAACAATCAAGTTGTTGAATAGTGTTCCTCCAGCACACCTTCTGAGTATGTCTTGACAAAAATGATCAGAACCATTGCAAAACACAAGATTCACAGAGAGGTTCAGGAAAACTAGTAGGGTTGCACCCTTAGCCCCAGTTTCCTATCTAGGTCATATTAAGATGACCAAAGTAGGCTTAATATTATAAATTCTTAACTTGATATCTGTGGGCACCCCTGACAATGCTGAAATGAAAGACAAACTTGTTAGCAAGTGACCCAGCATTTTGGTGTTGGATTTTCTCTAATGCAATGACACTCTATCCTTGTCTTCTTAAAATCTCTTATATGCTGTGTAAATGTCAGAGAGAAAGCAGGAGGAAGACATTTCTATTCACCTTTCTCCATTGAGTCAATGACACTCACTAGATTCTATCTTTTAAATTTCTGTTTAGTTATGTAGATGTAGATACAGTTCTACCTTGGTACTCAACTGCTTTGAAACTTGTCAAATTTGGAACTCAACTCATTTTGATATGAAAATTTTGTTCCAGTACTTGTCATTTGTTTAATATTTGACATGCAAGTCAGAACTTGTTAATGTCAGCTGTCCCATGACTTTCCAGCCAAAACAAAGGCTCATGCACTAGTCAGTTGGTTGGTTTGGTACTCGTTTTTAATACTTGTCACGTCTCCTGGAACCAATTAATGATGAATACTGAGGTACAAGTGTATCTACATTTCTACCAGTGAACTATAGCTTTAATTTGAGGTGAAGTTGCCTGTGGCCAATTATGAACATGGCAACATATAATTGTTAATCTAATTAAAGTTGTATCCTCACAGGACTTTTCTGTTTAGTGGGTTCCTACACTCTGCACACAGATGCTTGTATATGATACATGATATATATTTCTACCTCCTCTGTTTAATGATATAGACACAACCACCAGTTTTCAGCAGTATCTGCCATTTCCTAGCATGTAATATATACTTTAAAGAATATAAGCTATTAGAAGAGATATTTGATAGTTCCTTATGCTTTCTACATGTTCTGCCTAAAAATATACGATGTTGCTACTGTAGTGATTTATTTTATTTAAAGGAATGTTAAAAATAGTATGAAGTTCCTGTTAGCCTTCATATTCATTTGTTTGGCATAGATGAGGATGTTCCCAAAGTTAATTAGAAGGAAATGTTCTAATCACTTAATTCTCATCAGGGCAAAAATTAATCTTGTACAGCATCTCTGTATTATATACAGAAGCATGATGTGTGTAGTGTATATTTTCTTGTGCAACACTATGTATGACACAAAGGAAGTGAAACATAAAATATATATTATCTCAGTTGAATGCACGAAATGTTAACTCACCATTGGCTTCATTGTTTCTTTCAATCGTATTTGCAGTTCGAGATGTTGGTCAATATGCACACATGTTTGTATTTATAGGTACTATTTTCATTGTATGTACTCTTTGTCATTTTTAAGATGGTTACAATCTGACCTGCATTTCTTAGAAAGAATGGCTCAAATATACAGTAGTATCTCAATAAGGTAAAGCCACTGTAAATAAACGCTAAGAAGATTCTTGCTTTCAAGAATCACACTGTAAATATATAAATGTGTTGTGGCAAGACCAGTCAGGAAAAACATGTCAAAACAGAGTTGAACATTGAATTGACAGATTGAATACATGTTATAAACTGACATTTGTTTCACTATCAATTGGTGCCATTGTGGATTTTAAATAATATCGTTCTAATATATTGGATGTCACGTATGCTATTTAAAATTGAGTATGAAAGCATAGGTAGAATAACTGCTATGTATTTTTTGATGGCGATGAACTAAAGTGGTAGCATAGAAGGTCATTTGTCAAGTCTAAAGGTCATCAGGAGTGAAGTTCCATCAATAATAAATATTTTTAAATGCTTTAAATAAATAATGCACTTTTCAAGAGGCTGCCTTCAAAGACTACCTGAAACTGGACAAATTCAAAATGATGCTACCTGATTGTTGAATGGATAGTCCCAATTCAGCATCATGCGGGGGTTGTTTTGGCTATTGGAAGATTTTCAGGGAGGACTCAAATTGTATGACAGCCTATCTGGCTCAGGTGCTTCACTCTTTATGGCTCTGCCTCCTCGAAGTAGATTCTCCATTCTTCTGCACCCCACACACTTTTGGTAAATTTTCTTTCCTCAGCAACATAGAATCAGCAATATGGAGAAGACCTTTCTCTATATGCCTATGGAGGTTCCAAGCTTGTGGAATTGACTACCCCATAGTGAAAATACTTTAAATAAATGCCATTTGTCTTTTGAGAGTCTGGACAATAGGACAGTGAAGAACAGTGATCACTATTTTTCTTGGGCATTTAAACTATATTTTCTGCAATCCTTTCATCGATATTTCCTTAACAGATTCCCCATGCTTTCAACAATGACAGAACTTCTAATGTACTGCCGTCACTAGAATAGTTGGGATACATTCAGAGAAGTATCTGCCTTGAAAATAGCCTATGCTGAACTGTATTGCCCAGTCAAATGCAGGAAATGTTTTATGGCATTATGTCATAAACTGTGTTATGATAATCTCTATATCATGAAGAGTTTTATAAAATTTACCACATTTCAGTTCCATGAGAGTCACGGGTTCCAAATTTTGGACTCATTCTACAACAATGGTGACGAACCTATGGCATGTGTGCCACAGTTGACACGCAAAGCCCTCTCTGTGGGCATGCGCGCCATCACCCCAGCTCAGCTCTGCATGTGCATGCACTTCCTGCCGGCCAGCTGGTCTTCAGGTCTCTGCTGCACATGCACATGGGACGAAGTACATGCACATGGGGTGCACATGCATGTGTGTGCAGAGCATGAAGGTGTGTTGCATTTTGGGTATGTGCGTGCATGTGCATGCACTTTGGGCACTCGGTGCCAAAAAGGTTCGCCATCACTGTTCTATAAGTTAGCTCATCTGAGGTGTCTTGGTTCAAAAGTTGTTGCTATAGGATACATCATTTTACCTAGTATCATTTTTTGTGACCTATCCAGAGTCTGATGAAATGGATAGTACACAATTAATGTAAAATAAATATCATTATGATGCCTTTTACAAATTTTTCTTCATCATTTATTTTTCTCCAGATAGATGTGTCTGTAAAACCAAATGAAAATGAAAAACTTTCCACAAGAAGAGCATCATATGAAAGCTCAAGGCATGAAACATTTGTGATTATTGCTTAAGCTCTAAAACATTTTTAGATCAGAATCTTGATCTTCACATTAATGAGCAAATATTAATATTTGCTTTTTTAATCTGCATACAGCTTAAAGGAAATATTCTGAAAGGGAACTGTCTTTTATTGTTCACACATGATTTCCCATTTACTCCTCAGGGGTGGATGATCATGATTTGAAAAAACTTAATAGTGCTAGAAATGGTGAAACAATGCTCTTCTAGAGAAAGGTCATTTTCATTGTAATAGATCAATTAATATATCAATTAGTATTTATGTCAGTCTTGGATGCACATTCAAGTGGGTGGAGACTTCTCAATATTCCTATTTTTCCTTCATTTTATGCACTAGGTCAGGGGTGTCAAACTGGCAGCCCGCACGCCGGATGCATCACCCCAGCTCCTCAAAGGCAAAAACATATCACAATATGCCACGTGATGTCATGTGACATGATTGAGTTTGACACCTGGGTAGTAGATTATCTGCAACAAATTTTACTATCACACCTTCTTAAGAAACTACCACCAATTTATCAAAATTCTCAGTCATCCAGATCATGGTTGTCCCAAAGATGCTTTTTTCAAAAGGCAGCTGGACAGACTTGCCTTTTGAATGTGGACAGAGAGGACCGCTGGTTTGAAAGAAGGTCAAAGAGGCCATCTACATTAAACAGCCCTCTCTCAACAGAGCAGGAGGGATTTGACACCACCTATCTCCTGTTTACAGCACAGTCCTTTCAACAGTTCCAAGAAGGTTTCACACCCATTTGTACTATTCAGATGCCCCCGAGGGCACA